GAATCACACCTCCGCAGCGCATTTGGCTCTTGCAAGCCCAGAAAGGCTGAGGCTAGTGTCTGCCAGCAAGGAGGAGCTGCAGCCCAACTTCTGAGCATGGATTATGTTGGGCCCTTGGAATTTCTGAGCCCAGGAGGCTTCCCAGCTGCAGGGAAGAACACTGGCCCAGAAGCATGGTAGTATTCAAAATTAACTGGCTACTCTGCTCCCAGGGCAAGTACTTTCTCTTCCCCCCGCTCTCCTTAAGGACCCTTCCAGGAGCAGAGGTTCTTGCAGGTTGCCAAGCAAGCACACAGACATATTGGTCCTCTTCCTGTCCCTCCTCTCTAATGACCTCAGATAACTTAATCTTCTGTTGTATAAGCTCTTCAGTTGTCCATCAAAGGGTTAACAGAACACCAGGAGTAATGTTCTGGGTTATAAATGCAACCAAATGCATATTCTGGGTTTTTATTTCGATGGTTCAGGTGCTGGGGGCCAGGATAGCTATGACTGCTGACATACACCTTGTACCACTGGCATTAGAGCTATGCATTCCAGGGCTGGACCTTTTTCAGAAGCAGGGATGTGATCAGGTTTTAGCTGCCTGTACTTTGAGGAACTTTCTTTAGATAGGTCATGAGAAAGAAGCCCTATGAGACATAAGCAGTGTGGCAAGTATAGTCAATCCATAATCTACCCCAGTTAGTAAACGCTTACTCAAACCAGTAGCAAAATGCTTTCCCCAGGGAAGGCCTCCCTCCAAGCAAGGCTGGTCTTCTGGTTTGGTTTGCATACTGTCCAGGCCTCCTCCACCTTCAGCCACTCAGCTACAGCTAGGAAGTTTCAAGTAGGAGAGGGAAGTATGAGCTCAGCCCCACAGAACTGGGGCAGGGTGGGAAGTAGAGGTACCAATGAGGAAATTAGCCATCTACTTCATCCAAGTATTCCCGAATGTGACTTTAATTCATAGATATTGCTAACTTAGAATTCCATCTGAAGCATCTTGCTTACTTGGGGAAGAACTGGTGATGAAAAGTCCTGTCTCTGGTCCTGGCTCTACCCAACACCCCCATGATCATGGTCATGCTCTGCCCTTGTCAGCGTTGGGAACAGCTTCCTGAGGCTGGTGGGAAGAGGCTGGGGAGAGAAACGCACAGCATTCTGCACCCTCCACAGACCCTCTGTTGCCTCCTCTCCTGCTTCCTCTCTGCAGGGAGGAACTAAGAGCATAGGAGGGGCTGTGCCTACAAGCACAGGGTTTAAGGGTGCCTCCTCCACCATGCTTCCCTCTAGCTCCTCCCCAGCAACCCCCATCACAAGCCACCCACTATTAATGCCAAAAGGTATTTATTAAAAATCATTCTCCCTAAAGAAATCAATATAACTCAGTTTTGGTCCCAGTCATTCCATCCAGATCCTATAGGAATGAGAGGGGAGTATTCACTTGTGACCCTTGCAGTGGCTTCATGCTCTTTTCTCCTATCTTCCAACACGTCCCCGCTATCCATGTATTCCAAAGGCCTAGTCAAGTTCAGTGGCCTTCCTGACACATTGCCAGACTGCTCCAACTTCAGCAGAGTCACCCTTGCTTTCTTGTAGTGGCTTGACCTATGCCCCTTCCGGCACACCTATCCAAACCTGACTTCATCTGCACCATCTGCCCTTATTTTCCAGAAGGAAAGGTGTCTCATCTCACAGTCCCGGTGATTCTGATGCTTGCTCTGCTCATGTTAACATCAAACGTTTTCTGTCTCCTGCCTCTGTCTTATTGGTTGATCAACACAGTCTGGTCCCTTGCAGAGAGGGAGGGAGAAATAAAAGAAGGAGAAGGAGAAGGAGGGGAAGAAAGAGAGGTAGAGGATGAGAGAGTAGGAAAAAGAAGAAGAAAGAAAAACAACCACAAAAGGGAAAAACCCAAAGAACTTTTAACCTCTCCTTTATGCATTACCTCTTCTCTTTCCTGAGGAAACTGTATGAATCAGAACCTTGAAGTAGGAATTCTTCCAGCTGGAGAACTATTGAAAATATAATATGTTTTTTACAGGATAAAAAAATTAGGTTGTAATTTAATTGTCAGTGATAAGGAAATGTGGCATGCTACTTGAAAAAAAAAAAGCCACCGAGTTTCCAAGTGTATTATGTACCACTTAATTCTCAACTATTGAATCTGATTCCTTCTCTCAGCCATCCCATTAGAAAAGGCCTTCCCAGATCAGCTGGGGTCTCCTAACTCTCGAAACTGGTATGTTTTAATCCCAGACCTTCTTGACCCAGATGCTGTTTTTGGCCATATTGGCTTCCTGGGGTTTTCAGAGCATGCCTTCCCTCCTCCTTTCTTATCTGCCTCTCCTCTTCCATCTTCTTCCTAACTCCACTTTGCCTGTCTCTTAATTCCTGAGGCTGGTATTCCTCAGGTTTGTTCCTGTCCTTTTCACATGTGACTCCTGTTTCCATCAATGGCATTATTACCCTTCATCTGTCATCTACAGACCAAAGGCTTCCAAGTCTAGGTCATTCTTGGAATCTCTCTCTGGTTTCCTGCCTATGATATGTCTCTTGATGTATTTTCATCCCATAAACCAGGGATCTCAACCTGGAGTGATTTTACCTGAATGCAGCATGTATCAATGTGTGGAGATGTTTTTGGTTTCTTAACTTAGGGGGATGCTACTGGCATCTAATGAGTATTGACCAGAGACACTATTAAATAATTTTGAGAACCTCAAGACAGTATCCTACAACAATGAACTATCTAGCCCATCACGTCAAGAGTTCCAAGTTTAAGAGGTCTTGCTATGTCCACTTTTGATAGACAAGCTGAAGTTCCCCTTGAACTTTTTCCACTAGTGCCTGGCATTGTCTTTGTGTTTACAATGTCTGTCTCTGTTGGGATGGAACTTATGGGCACATTGTGTTTTATTCATCTTTAATTTCCAGTCCCTTTAAAGGAATGGGAATGGGATAGTAGATATGAAGGAAGCACTGTTGAATGAATGCCATCATTGTCTGTCTCATATTCCAGATATTATACGTTTTCTGAAGGGAGGGACCATCATGAGCTACAGTGAACTGGATGTTGAGGAAGAATTTCAACAATATGTGAAGAAGTAGAAGGTTCAGGGACAGATGATAAATTTACAGAAAACAAGCCTAACAACAAAGTTAAATCCTATTATTATTTAAAAAAGTCATCAGGTGGTTGAATAACTAGATATAGAGGGCATAAACAAGGTCTGTGTTGGAAAATGATATTTAAAAACTAACATTAAAGGAAAGATGAACCCAGATTGTGTTTGGAATGGCAAATATACTCTAAAATAGAATGGAAGGGGAAACTGCCAAGCAAATAAATAGAAAACCTAGGAGGAAAAAGGATGAATAAGATACTTTGGCCGTGGGTGTTTTTTTTTTTTTAATATTTATTTTTTAGTTGTAGTTGGACACAATACCTTTATTTATTTATTTTTATGTGGTTCTGAGGATTGAACCCAGGGCCTCGCTTATGCCAGGCAAGCACTCTACTGCTGAGCCACAACCCCAGCCCGGGCAATGTTTTTTTTTTTCCCATCTCATTTTAGCATTGTCCTATTATATGCTTGTTTGAGTAACGTATGTTTTTAAATTCCCCAAAAGATTAAAAATAGAGCTTAATGAAATATCAAATATATATATATATATATATATATATATATTTACCTCAAATCTGTTTCTATCACATTTCTTCCATAGGAGGCATTTTTTAAAGCAGAGCTGTGAGCCATACCCCTGCCAGCTCGTGTGGATTAAAGGCATCTATAGCACATGCCTCCCCTTGTTCCTGGGAGCATCCCTTTTCCCATTTTCCTTTCTATTAGCACCATTTCTCTTTATTTCTTCCATTTTGACTTGATCCATGACATGCATCTTTGTGAGCTGAGAATTTATACCTGAGGAAGAGTATAAATTCATGTTTTCTCATTTTTTTCCCTGAATTCATTTGGACACCTTTGGTGAAAGCTGTAGTTATTAAAGCAGAGTGTTTGGGATAGGAAATTCTCCCCTGTGAATCAGGAAAGTATGAAGCATCCTTAGGGCTGGGAAACCTTGTTAGGTAACAGAAAAGGAAGTGTCTGTCACTCATAAGACATAAGGTTCCTCTGCGACACATGAAGAGGCACGTGAGTGTGTGAGTGAGCATGTGAGTGAACATTTACATGGCTGCACCTGTCCTGTGTCCTTGAGATACCCATACCCAGGACCACCATCCTATAACTATCCCGAGCAGGTGGCTGAAAAGATGTGCTGCTACTGGAGGAAAGGAACCATATTTTGGAATCTTATGGTGATCTAGAGTTAATATTGCAAACTCACATGAAAAGACAAACAAGACAAATAACTTATATTTTTAACTGAGGTTATATCAGATTTTTTTTTTTTTTTGCGGGGGGTACTGTGGATTGAACTCAGGGGCACTTGACCACTGAGTCACATCCCAGCCTTATGTTGTATTTTATTTAAAGACAGAGTCTCACTGAGTTGCTTATCACCTTGCTTTTGCTGAGGCTGGCTTTGAACTTGGGATCCTCCTATCTCAGCTTCCAGAGCTGCTGGGATTACAGGTGTGCACCACCACACCTAGCCAGATTTTCTTTTAATGTGTTACGATATCTCAGTAATGAAGAATAATATGTAAAAGAGGGATGAATTAGGATACTATATCTTAAATCCTATTACAATCCTAAATTAGACTTTGGCAAAGCAACAAAAACAAGAAACACAATAATGATGAGATTAGCATGTCCCCAGTAGATCCCTGTGTGTATGTTTGTGTGTGTGATATACGCATCTCAGGACACCACAAGCAGTTCATACCAGCATCTTAGTCTCTATTTGAGGGATGCAGAATCTGAGTCTTATAGCAGAAGTTCACTCAGCTTATATGGTGGGGGGTCTACATCCAAACATGGGCTCTGGATTTTTCCAAGGAAAGCACTCTTTCTATTCAATTGTGTATTAAATAAACAATCCAATAAAAAAAATTCAGTACAAAGAGTTTTTTATTGACATTGTAAGAAACATTTTTTTTTTCTTTGTTACAAAAGGACTAAGTGGTTCTGAAAGTCAAGGTAGAGTTCATCTGTGTCTGGGCTGTGGTGCTCTGGGCTCCAGGTGGGTGCGGAGCATGGAGCGGCTGCAGGCTTTTCCAGGGAAGGCCGGGGCCGGTCACATTCGAACACTTTGCCTACAATACTTAAATGTATTTACATGTGTTTCTTTTTAAAAAGGATTACACATTTTATTTTTTAAAAATCTAAAAAAGGTGAAAAAAACGAACTTGTATTTTATCTTACACATTTGCAGGATACACAAGGGTAACTTGTCAGACGAGAACATCCTCCTATCAGTTCAAAACAACACAGGAAACCAGGTTACAAGAAAGCTTAGACTCTGCAACAGTTGCTTGCTTGCCTGCGGGCTCACTGAGCAAACAGCCTTGGCGCGCTGATTGGGCCACACCAACTGGTCCCTCTCATTGACAAGATCAACATAAAATAAGGCACATACATCGCAAGAATCAAAACTTTGTGGCTCAAGAGGATGAGCAATGTGTGAGGAGCACAGGGGTGGTTTAATTTGTTCTTTAGACAGTAAAAATGGCTTGAAAAATAAAAACATGTTTAATGCAGATTGTATGGGCCTGCATTTTTTATTAAAGAGTAAATGGTGACATTAATGAGTAAGTGCTATCTTTCTAGATGCACAGGTCAGAGAAATGGAAAGAAGGTTGGAGGTTGTGGGTGGTCCTTCGATATGAGATAACAAGTCTGCAGAAATCCCTTGTCCCCATAGGATACTTCTAAGTGATCTTACAAGACCTTCCTTCCATTTGACTGTCACTACAGATCATCAAAATCCTGGGAAAGCACTTTCTTCTTCCCTCCTTTCTGAAGATTTCCATATATAGAGAGAGGCCAAATATTAAGTTGAAACATGTGTCTCCTGCAAGTTCAAAGCCACAGCAAGGAAAACAAGGACAGAAAAGAAAACTTAAAGGAGGAAAATCAGAGAGTAACATGAAACCAGAGGGAAAAGCAGAAGATTAGGATGATGATAGTCCTGGTCCCCACTGCTGTCCATCCTTCCAAGAAGGATTATGGTAATGCAGGTCCCCTGCAAGAATACTACCAGGAAAGAAGTCTGCTGGAGAGAGAGCAGTATGGCAGGATCCAGTCTCCTTGCTCAGGAATAGGGAACAGATGGGGCCAAACCATAGCAGCATTCAAGATAAACCTAGTTCCTGGAGACTGTAAGGTTTGCGGAAAAATGAGATTCAGGGAACAGATCATTGATTTTGTAATAAGAAGGTGACCTGTCTGAGGAATAGAGAAAAACCTTGCTTTTCAGCTGAAAAGTTATAGAAACTCTACTGTCCTGAGCTCAGATCAGTTCTCTTTTGCTTATGGGCTGTTCCAAATGGGAGATATCCTTTGATTTAAAAGGAGGGGCTACTTGTGGAAGGACAGTAGGACATGAAGGAAGATTTGCCACTATTACTCTGCTAAGTCTCAGGAACATCTAGTTGAAAGCAAACCCAATAGTCTTAGCCACAAAATCTTAAATGGCAAATTTACCTCTGTGCTGAGATTCTTGGTCCAAGTAACAGAAAATAAATGTATTTATATATATAAAGGCAGGTCCTAACATTCTTTCTATTATTTATCACTTTGTTTTACTTGATTGTTGTCTTTCTATTAATTTAAAAGGTACAAATTAAGGGACAAAGCCACACAATTGAAGAGTGAATCACTTTGGATAAATCCAACTCCAGGGGCTAATAGGGGACAGAATACAGCAGGTTGCTTGAGGTGTTAATATTTTTAATAATTACATATTTTTAAAAGCAATATGCTGAATAATCCATGTACTCTTTTTGCACACACAGTATGACTTTTATGTGTATCAATTGCACATGGGGAGTAGCTGCACTTTTTAAATCTTTATATGTTTTAATCCAAAACAGAAGAAAAGATACTAGTCCATAATAAGGACTAATGGTATATAACATTTAACTTCTTAAATGGATGCTGCACTGGACAGAGAGAATAAGAACAACGGTATCCACACACAGCTATTAAGTATCTTCTTTTATGTTCTCAAATGCTACAAATGGTTGAAGCAATTTATTCCCAATATCAATGTATGTGAGCTTTTCCTTTTACAACTAAATTTTACAAATCCCTTTCAATAGGGCACATAGAATAGAAATCCTATAGTGGAATTAATAAATGTTAATGGTATAGCCAGTTGTGGGGTTGTTTAAAAACCTATATACTTAGAACTATGAACATCAATTCTCAGTTATCTATGTCAATGGAGAAAGAGATGGGATCTAATCAACAAATATAGCAAGCCCAGCAGTATTCCCCAAACTAATTCTACCCAATTGCTTCAATCTAGAATCTACCTAACTTCTTACTAGAACAAATAAAAGTAGCAGCATGTCTGAGTGTCACCAACTGCCTGTCCTCTCTCTCTCCCTGCAGCATTAAACAGTGCTGAATGCTCCTGAAGATAGAGAGGGAAGGCAAATAAGATAACTGAGAACTGACCATATAGAAATACCCACCCCAAACACGCTTATGGATAGGAAGAATTGAAAACCCAAACTGTGAGCAAACTATTTTCATTTGCAAGAGCCCCAGGTCTCCACTTCTGTGTAGCTTTCAAAAGTATGCCCTGAATTGGATTAGGGTTTGGGAGCATGTCAAAATCTGCTATCTATGCTACAGTGCACCCATGGAAGATTCTTAAACTCACTATCCATATTCTGATTCTTGTGCCCAATGTGGGAATTAAAAAATAGAAAACAAAAACAAAACATTGAGCATATGTAAGAAAGAAGAAAAAAAAAGGAAGAAAGAAAACTGGACATGTAACCCCTTCGGTCACAAGCATACTAACTCCGTTTTCCTTGGAGTAACAGAGAAACATGTCAAATCCTTTAACTTGACTTCTCTTCTAAAAGAAGGAACATGCACATCACACATTTACATTGGTTTACTAAAAAAGGGGGCGGGCTTACAGTTAAAAAAAAAAAGAAGAGGGTGGTTTGAGTGTAACAATACTGATTCAAAACTGAAATGGAAGACAGTTTCTCCCTAGAATACCTTAGGGTTTTTCAGAGTCCTTTTCCATAAAAGGAATATACTTGAAACACATCCCAGTTTGATGAGATGAGATTGCTAAAATACATACAGAACTAAAAAAACAAACCAGCCAAAAATGGAGTCAATTTAATCTTTCAACTCCTAAAGTTTTACGTCTGTTTGCAGTCTTTCTTGCTAACGCCTATTGCATAACTGCAAGGAATTTGCTTTCTTCCGCGAGGGAGGTCAGCAAAGAACTCATGTCCCCGATAGCCATGTTGGTGGTGCTCACAGATAGGGCTGGGAATGGGAGGGACGCTCTTGGTGTGGTGAGGCGGGAGGAACTATGGGAAAGGTTCTGAATGATACTTGGGCTCAGGGCCCCTGACATCAGGCTGGAGTGGTCCCCATCATCTATAATGGCATCAAAATCAATCTGCACCCCTTCTAGGTCATGGCTGTCGAGGCTGTCAACTGTGCTTGTCACCTGGTTAGCACCTGGGGAAAGTAATTCAGAGTTTTCGGCGCCGGCTCCCTGTAGCAGGCAGTTGGCAGCTGAAATGGAAAATGAACCGGCTTTCGTGTCTTGCTGACTGAAGCCCATGGTTTGGTCATAGAACTGACCAGAGTAATTCTGCATATTAGAACAGAGCTGCTGGGGCTGTCCTTGCATCTCCATCTTGATGCCATTCACCCTGCAGGCTTGATTTGTGTCACTGAGCTGTCCTTGCTGCAGAGTGAGGCCGCCCCTCGGCATAGCCTGGCGCCTGCTGCCCCCATAGCTGGCACATGGCTGGTAGCCCCTGACAACTGCCAAGCTTGATGGTTGGCTGCTGATGCTGTGAGTCCCAGGTAGGCAGCTCTCTGGCCCTTGATAGACGTTGATGTGTGAGGTAGCACTAACCTGTCCTAGCATCTGCTGACTGGGGCGGCCTGCCCCCTGATGCTGCATGCTGTCGCTGAGTAGCTGGTGAGGGAGATACCCCTGTCCTATTGGGTCTTGGGTCTGCATGCCATTCACTGTGCTGCCAGCTGACTCATTTGGTGCCGCAGACAGGCCAAAATCCAGCGGACCCCCATTCCCTTGCATGGTGGTGCTTTTCAGCTTCGAACCTTGTATCCCAGCACTGCAGGTACTGTCTAGAGCACTAGGGGCCACTGGCTGCCTGTTGAGACAGCTCCCATACTGCTGGGCTTTATAGGACTGTTCATGGAAGGCATTTCCATTCATGCCAGTGCCCCTGCCACTGTGTATCACCAAATGCTCTGGGCCACTGTAGGAGCTGCCATTCTCCCCCAGGGTCTGATATCCCCCTGCAGGGCTGTTCTCACCCCTCCATGGATTCTGGGGGTGGACCACCATGTTGTTATATAACCCAAAAGCTCGGGCCTGCTGCATCCTGGACTGCTGGCCACATTTTAGCTTGGAGGAGGACAGGTCTGCACTTCCAGAGCTGACTTCATTCCACTGAATAGGTAAATCGGTTTTGCTGCCTTCCGTGCAAGGCTGCTCCAGGGAATGGTATTGCTGGCCAATGTGGCTGTCTGGCAGCCCAGGTGGGTCAAAGTCGCTGGGCCCATGGGATACCTTGCTGTCGTCTGAGATGGCACTCTGCAAGTGCTGCCCATACCCTGCTTGGTTCTGGGAATTTAAATACTGCACCACGTCATCCGGTAAGAAGTCCTCGTCGTTCAAGTTGGCATCGGCGTCCATGGTCAGGGACTCCAGGGTAACATTCTCGGTGATGCTGGGAGGACAGGGGGACGTATGGAAGTGACGGGGCTGGCTGCCCTCAGGCCGGGTGTAATTCTGAAGCACTAAGTTTCGCTTTTCCACAGATGGAGGCAAACCCGGAGGATTGAAGCTGTTGAGGCTGCTGAAACGCTGAACCCTGGGTAGGGTCAGGTTCTCCGACACGGTCCGCACAGGGTCGCTGGCTCTCCTCACGCCATTCCCCAGTGCATCATGAGGCAGCAAATGGCGGCGGCCGTAGCTGTGGGCACCCCCGTCGCTGCATCTCCGCGGAGGGTGGACAGGAGGCAGCGTCACGCCGGTCTCCTTGCTGTCCCCTAGTAGGGCCATCCTGGTCTTCAGGCTCAGCCTCTCCATGTGCGGCAGGGGCGTGGGTGGTGGCCCTCCCGTGGCAGCAGCGTACTTGGCCTTTAGGCGATACTGCTGGGCAGGAGTGAGGCTGAGCAGGCTGGGCAGCCCGTCACCCTGGCTGGCCTCGCTGGACCTGCGTGAGGCGTCCGTGGAGATGGGGTCGTAGGAGTCCGCAACGCTCACGTTCTGGGGCCGTCCCTCGGCCTGTGATGCCTCGCTGGACCTGCGGCTGGAGAAGCAGGGCGAGATGCCCGAGGAGCGGCGGCTGCTCAGGTAGGCAGAACTGATGGTGCTGGTGCTGCTGTCCCTCCTGTTGAGCATGTTCAGCATGGTGAGGTCCACCCCGGAGAGCTCACTTCTGTTCGGAAGAAGAGTCATGGGCCCGCCCGAACTGCAGTTGTTACTGGACTGTGTGCCTGGAGAGACAAGAGTGGAGGGAAGAAAAGGAGAGAGGATGTGAGACTCAGGATAACTTAAGCAAGGTATCAGGCAACGTTTTTTGTAAAGGGCTGGTAGTAACTTTTTTCTGCTTTTGAGGTCACTGTGGTCTCTAGCACAATTACTCTCCACTCTGCAGTTTAGCATTCAAGTGGCCACAGACAATAGTGAAGGACTAGGTGTGGCTGGGTGCCAGTAATATTTTCTTTACAAAAACAAGTGGCAGGCTGTATGTAACCCCCAGGCTGTAGTTTGTAAATCCCTGGCTTAAAGCACTAACAATTACTCCCTAAATTTGATTAAGCTTTTCCACAGGTGCAGTGCAAGGACAAGACTTTCCGGACATACACAATTGCTCAGGATCCATGCAAGTACAGGGGCCCAAGGTATTCCAGGAATTTCACAATCACACTCCGGGTTTCCTGTTTATTTCACATCCTACAAACACCTGAGTTGGAGTGGCAAGGGTCACTTTTAGGATGTGGTTCAGATAGTGTCATCTCAGAAGTAAAAGTTGACATGGGGGCTGACTATGGAGAATAATGTTTGTCTTTCCTTGAACTTAGCCAACATAAATGAAAGTAGTGGCTAACCTCTTGGTTTTTAATTTTGGAAACCAGAATGCTAATCATTAATGCATCTTTTTTAAAAAAATTTTTTAGTTGTCAATGGACTTTTATTTATTTTTTATATTGTGGTGCTGAGAATAGAACCTAGTGCTTCACACATGCTAGGCAAGCATTCTACCTCTGAGCCACAACTCCAGCCCCTCATTAATGCATCTTCTTCTGGGATTTTCTTACTTTGGTTAAATAATTATGATTTCACCATTAGAATATGAGTTATTCACAGTCTTACTTTTTGTTTTAATACTATTCTGTTATTGTCTAGTTTTAAGATATGGATCCTCCAGAAAGGCAACTCAAATGGGTTCGACATTCATAGAGCAGAGTAAGTTAGCATAACCTTGAGACTGGTGGTGAAACCAGCAAATATAAAAGCGAGGACCCTGGTTCCTCTCACAGTGCTCTGGCCACATTTGAAAGAAGAGAAAACACCTGAGGGGAGGCATGGTCCGATGTGGGACTCACCATTTCCTATGAGAGGAGAGACCGCAGGGGCTTTGGGGGGTAGAATGGGGTTCAGTCGAGGAAGCATTCCATTCACTTGTTTTAGCCTTTCTAGTTTTACGTGCTCCATCCATTTGGTCCCTGCAGGGTTCCTCCTGGCTTGCAAAGCAAGGGCTGTGGTTGCAGTGGAAATGGTCGAGTCCATGACTGGGGTTTCATCGATGGCACTGAGGTCTGCTACACTACCTCCATCGGTCAGAGGAAGCTCGAGCCCACTGTTGGAATAGTTGCTGATGGGGGACTGTTGGCTGCTGCATGAAGACTGACCACCAGGGCTTGGCTGAGATGTCTGTTGAGGTCAAGAGGAAAGGAAAGAACTGTCACCAGGAAGAACAAAGGAAAGGACACCAATAATGACAGCTCATGCAGGTGAAGACCTTCAGGTTATCAGCTGGTTGAATGAGAAGAAAAAATATGTTCCAGTGATGGAGGTGGCCTTTGGGGCCAGAACGACTGATGGATCACCAGGCTGATGTGCAGGGGGAAGCAATGAACAGCAGAGAAGATTAGATGTGGTGTGACCAGCATGATATCAGAAATGGAATCCTGTCCTGAATGCCAACTCTGCTAACACAGCTTTTTATTTCCAATCCTACTGCCAGGACTTTATGCTTTGGGCAAATGACAAAGGCACTCTCAACCTCAGTTTCCTCATCTATAAAATGGGGACAGTTTATATTATGGATTATTGTTGGGAATCTATATAAAACCCAGAGATCACAGAAGTATAAAAACACCTAATAAGTAATAATAATTAGATTACAAAACATTAGTAATTATTGTCTCAGGTGGTTCTAATTTTAGGGATTGTTTTGTTTTTGTTTTTTGCTCAGCTAAAACATATATGCTTGATAGGACACATTACTTCCTAAGAAAAGCCCCTCTGAGCTGGTACTTAAGCTTTGTAACCCTTCCTCCCCACTTTTACTTTTCTGTTGTTGTTGTTGTTTGGCTATTGTAGAACCTGAAGCAGGCTGTGCATCAAGGCAGCTATAAGAGGTAAAACTTCAGTCACTTTGCTTCTGCCAAATACAAGGGAAGAAAGGCATCAACCCACAGCTGTTAGGAGTCTGTGGCATGATTTTTTATAATTCTCCTTGGTGTGCCGTGGCATTTCACTCGGAGAACTGGGAAATATTCCCCTCACCACACACAAATGGACTCTATAAAAAAATTATGCAACTAATGGGAACTTAATCCAACCCAGTGGTTCCCAATCAGGGAAAGTATCATCTTCTCCCCACCCCAGGGTTTCTGGAAATAGAGGGTGGAAAGCCTGACTATCCCAGTGTCTGGGGAGCACAGAATAAAAGGGCCTGCAATGTCCAGGGCAGTTGGCACAACATCAAACTGTTCTATCTAAAATTCCAGTGGTGTCCTGGTTGATAAAACAGTCAAATCCTTTCATAAGCATAAGAAAAGTGATGTTCAGAAAAGTCAGTGACTGCCCAAAGTCACAAAGTTCATGGAGCAGCCAGACGCGGTAGTCTAAGCTGGCTACTTCCATGCTTCTGCAGCAGTTTCTCAGGGGTTATTATAAAAACCAGAGCTCCTGACAACAGCTAACAGAGCAAACTTCCAGGGAAAGAGAACTCCACTTCCTCCTGGAGACTACTCAGTTAATCTAAGATGGAAAACACAATGTTGGCATGAAGGTCTATAGAAGGAGGCTTTCTCAGTAGAGCCCTTAACTTTTATTCCCCCCTGCTATCACAGTACATATATCCAAGCAAATGAACACTTTCTAAGTGAGTGCCATATGATACACTAACTCTGTCCTGGGCAACCAAGCAGATTGAAGAAAGATGCAAATCTGATCATGGGTATGTAAAGCCTTACATAATTTTTTGCCTTAGCAAAGTCTTGGGTTGCCAGACCACTTGCTCCTTCCTAATGTACTTGGAGTTTCCAGAGCTTTGGATGTCTTTCACTCCTGGACTATCAAATCAGAATGTGTGTGTATGTGAACCTGTGTATATGAGTATTCATGCACACACATGCCAATACACACTTCCATAGAGTGTGCGAGAAGGTGCATAAGCACTTACAATCAGAAAACTGCTTATGTGAGCTCTGACATTTGAATAGAGGGTAAATTGCTAACACAAGATGTATCTAGACCTTCTTTGAAGGTCCAAGATGGAATATATACTAGTCAGTACAGTAATTTAGTAGAATCTAACATCTGCTTGGTCCACTCCAGTATGATTTCTTATGAAAACCTAGACAAACGGAACAATGAATTTAACAATCAAAACTCCACATTTTCCACATGCTGAGCGTTCAAAACACATTGCTTCTCTATTTGAAACATAGCTGAGTAATGCTCACTACCAAAGATATCACCAAGCCACAAAAACTCAAGAAAAATGAAATGAAAAAAGTTAAATGTTCAAATGAAAACGAAACTAAAAGAACAGACAAGCCAAAATTCCCTCACCTTATTACCCACTGTCCTTAGGAAGTGAGAACAAGACATTTAGGAGCATTAGACAGAAGAGAGGTTGCATTAATAAGAAAAAAAGAAGAAAGAATTTAATTTATAGCATGATGATAAAATTAAAGACATGTTTTTTTAAAGAAAGCATTAGGAATGTAAATTTCATCTCCATTAGTAAATGTTTATGAAAATATCTGCATACATTTAAATGTGTATATATACATGCATACATAAAATAGTCTACTGTAGGAATGTGATTACATTATTAACCTCAGGGAGCTTCAGTTTCTTCCCTGTAAAACATCTCGTGATCTTATGTTTCTATGACTTAGTTTATAAAATATTTCACCCATTGGGGCATCTCAAATGTCACTGAACCAAATCATGACAAATATTTATTTCTACCAATTTTCTTTTTATATAATGGGTGTTTGTAATGGGTGTTTGGGGAAAAGAGGGCAAACTTTCTTTTTTCTGCTTTTTTTTTTTAGCTTTTGACAATGTAATTTATTTCCTATATTCTTGCAAAAACCCTTTTTTCCAGAATGCATTTTAATACATGACTTACATTAATTGAAATTCACATGCTTAATCACAAAAGATCCCTGGACACCTGCTAGCTTTGTTGAAATTCTCTAGCAAAACAAGACTTTCTTGAGCCTGGGATGCACATTGAAGAAATAAGATACTCTGGGTTCTTAGAATGGTCTAAGAACATAAATCATAGTGTTTGATGACATAATCTAGGAGACAATAAATTCATTTTCCTTAAACATTTGAGAATAAACTGCTGAATATTTTGCACAATTATATAGATGGACTTTATTTTATGAAATAGATACATGCTCACCTCCAAAAAATTATATAAAGCACTTTTGTATGAATTGATTAACTTAAAAATATCATGATCATTAGTATATATACACATTTTATTAAGATACTTTACAAATGCAAAATACCATGAGAAATTATGATAAAGCTGAATATCCTATTTGTATTATTTTTGGCTAAACTTAATGTCACTTTTTAAGACTCTAGAATTTAAAGACAAACCTGGTTAATCATTAAAACGTAGTTTCCTTACCAATGCTGGGATGGTATGTGCATTATTTCCAGCCCACGTTACACTTCTGAATAGTGAACTCATTGGTGAATTCATAGAATTCTTTCAATTGCTGGACTTCTCACATTTTAAGAAAATGCTTCCTTAAATTTAGTAAAATTTGCCCATCCAACCATTTCCTTGTCCCCAGAAAGCTAAACATATTATTTCTATCTGGTACATTTCTTCCACAGGTCAGAGTGGCAAATTTATCCCAATATATATGCATAATTAAATCCATTGTACGCATGACCAATATAAATGCACTGAATCTTCTTTCATATGTATTCTTTTAATTTTTCTTTTTATTCTTCTGAAATTTTAGGTGCTTTATAAAAAAAAAATATGTACATGACACAAAATCACCAAGTGAAGTTTGAAAGCAACTGAAAGAATAGTATTGTCCATATATTCTAATAATTACCAGACCGAAATAATGCCTGATTACAAGAACTTTTCAAAACCCTTCTTCATTCTCAATCTCATAGACTCAGGCACAAGAGAAATGGTCCCAGTGTATCCAATCTCTGCTCTGATTCTGGAGTAGATGTTTATAAACATCAACCCTTTGCATTCCCCATTTCTAGAAAAACCTACACTTCCTCTCCTGCCCACTTTGCTCCTGTGCATCCCTGTGAGGCCCAGAGACTGGTGTATTTCTGCCTGACCTTCCTTCCTCAAGCCTCACTCGTGCCAACTGGGAGTGCTAAATTCCATGTCCTCATGGCTTCTGACCTCAGAGTGCACCTCTCTCCTGAAGGCTCCTTACAAAGACCCATGTTCAAGCTCCCATCACCCTGAGTGGTATTTGTTTTTCAATCTGTCTCTCCCACTGGACTGCATACCCCTAAAGGATACGGATTGTAGCTTATTTACCTTTGAGTCACCAGGACAAAGAAGAGAGAAAACATGTCTACAAAAAAGGCTCAATAAATGATTTTGTACCTTCCAGGCACATTGACAAGATACACAGTCGTGTCTCTGCCTGCCATGAGTGGTATGGTATGTCTCTGGATCAATTTCAAAAATCAGTTAGGAAACTTGGAAGCTCTTTTCTGAGTAGAGTTATTCTAAGCAGATAAACTTCAAGTAAGCAATCCAGGTTACTGGGCTCATGACCTCCTCAAATCAGAGTGACTCGATGCAGTGAGGATGGGAATGGTCTTGTCCCTCCGAATGCCCTGCTGGGCTCTTTCAAATGACCCTCGGCCAACTCTGGGAAAATCAGGAGAGTGAATGACATACCATGGGTTTCTCGGCCTTGACCGTCTTCACCTGGAGGCACTCCTCCCGCTTTGAGGTAGTGTTGCTGAGGTCCTTCTGCTCCCCAAGGGCTCCCTGAGTCGGCCGGCCAGGTGACCTGGACTGTGAATGACTGCCAGAATCTCTTGGAGGCGGGGGCCGAGGATGCATGTCCCCACGCTGCTTCTTGGTGACATGAGCCTCAGGGCCATGCACAGTCTTCACGTGTTTCCGAAGGGAACTTGGGTCTGTGTAACGTTTAGTGCAGCCTGGGATTTTGCAGACATAAGGTTTCTGCCAAATCCAACAGAAACACAATAGGTTGTTATAAAAGTGATTAAGCTCCAGCCCCACAGTCCTCTGTGGTTGCTCATTACAATTTTAATTCTTTCAAAACACTTTTACAAAGCTCAGTGGTACTCAAATACCTGTAGGAACTAGTGGTTTAATAAGGCCGTTTGGACATGGTCCAGTGTCCATAGAATCTGGCTAAATAGATTATTATTTTCAAGAGAGCTCTGGGAGAGCTAAGAATGTGTAAATTGCCTTCCTGTTCTTGGAAGCATTTATGCTGTGAGTGGGAAGAAGTACCATGGTACCATGACAGGCACTCAGGAGACATCTGGTGATGATGATGATGATGGAAGGAGGCTTAAGGGATTCTCATCATCTAATCAGGAGAATGCTGCACACTTTTCAGGAGAGGTTGTGTCAAGAAATTTCTTTATGTAAATCCTTTTTTTTTGGGAAGTTAATATCATTATGTACTTTGGAAATGGACTACTTACGTATAGGTATAATAAAAAAAAAGATTGCTTTTAGCCTCTCCAATGTTAGATGTCACTAAAATGTGTTCCTCTGGGTAGGACTGCAACTGCATGGGGACATTCAGGGCTCAAAAGGTCCAGAACCTCTCTGGTTCAGAACAGTCAAGCCTTGCTGCAGATGCTCCATGCTGACATGCTGCCCAAGGCAGCTGGTTAGTGTGCTGGGAACCAGGATTCCTGGTCTGTGCTTCTTTCCTGAGTGCTCAATTCTATAAATTATTTCATGCTCATTTCATTTTCTATGTGAGTCAGTGGTCAAGTCTCTAGATATAGTTATAAACATTATATGGATGCTAATAGTTAGATATTTATTAAAACTGCTGGTCTCTGCTCATGATCAACACCCAAATTGTGATCTTGTTTAATTGGCTCCAAAATAATCTATTCATGGATGATTGTGTAAGCAAAGTTGGTCCTTTATATCCAAGGGTTCTGCATTATCAGATTCAACCAATCACAGATTGGGAATATTAAAACAAACAAACAAACAACAACAACAACAAAAAACAACTTGGTGTGCACAAACTTTCTTCTTGTTGTTATCTGCTAAATAATGTAGTATAATAACTATTTCCATAGACATGATAAGTAACCTAAAGATGATTTGGAGTATATGGGAGGATGTATATAAGTTGTATGCAAATACTACGCCATTTTATATAAGAAACTTTTGCATTCTTGGATTTTGGTATCTGGGGAGATCAGGAAATAATCTGCAGATACCTAGAGATGACTGTATACATTTATATCCATGTATACCAGAGATGAGCCATTAGGTAAGCAATTGTTATAAAACCATGATTAATATAATGTATCTATTACATTTTTAAAAATGCCCTGTCTTGTAGAATGTATGTCTAAAAGATGCTTTTTCACTAAAAGCCCAAGAACAGACTGAATGCGAACTAAAAATGCTGAAGTGCCCTAATGCAGTGCAGCAAAGATTCCGAAAATTATCCTGAGAGACTTCACCTTCAAATATGAGATTCCTCTGGGTAGAATTGATTCCCATTAACTTGAATTATGTCTACTCAGGATCTTGTGTGAATTGCAGCACACACACACATATATATAATGAAATGAGCGCATCAAATTCTATGCATTAAGGATAGAAGAATGGCTCTGTTGATTGGTGCCATTACCTTCCCATGTTCTGACATAGGCTCTATGCTTGTTCCTGGCACTGCCATGACAAATTGTTCCATGAGCAGGCAGAATGGGTGCATAGGGCATTTGTGTGCAGAGGGAAGATGGAGTACAAGGTGGTGCTACTACATTTCTATAAATATATACATATGAATAAAATGGATTGCTTTAGAAATATGGAGATAGTTGATGTCTAATGAAAACAAGAATGTTCAGAACCTGTATTGCCAAAAATAACAGCACACACTAGTATACCTGAAACTATGTGCCCGTGCATGTAAATATACACATTATCCATCTACAAAAAACCCATAAGAATACAAATTCAGGACATTAAAGCCTTACAGAGAGGCACATTAGCCCAATTATATAGTTTGGCCTTCAAATTTTGTTGTGATCAATATTTGCAATGATATATTCATATACAGGCTAAAAATATGTTGTCAGACCGAGTAGCATCATTCATGTGCTCAGTATTCGACTTTTGACATGATAGTTACCATTTTGACTCACTATACTCATAGGCACTGGGTGAAATCAGCTGATACGTTTTCTACCTACTTTGTAGAATTCACCCAAATAAATTTTATCATTAAACATTCAATGACTCCTATTCCATGCAATGTTCTGTGATCCCAATATTGTATATTGCAGAATTTAACCTCGAGGAATATAAAATCCTTAATGTAATCCTTGCACTTGATATATAAAAATGTCATTTTCTGGTATGAAAAATAAGATACCATGTAATTATCCACAATGTAAAGTGTGAATACTAAGGATGCAGACAAAGGAGGAATCTCTTTTCAGTTGGGATGATCCTGGAAGGGGTCAGTTATTAAGTGTCTGTATCTGGGTCTAATGCTCAGGTTGTGAGTTTATGTTAGTTGCCAAGTGAGACCATGACCATCAAGTTCTTACCACAATGCATGACACAGGGTAAGCCCTCAACAGATGGACCTTTTATTAGGTGAAAGCAGTTTTGTTGGGTTCTAAAAGGAGAATAAAATTCCCAGAGATTAAAAGGAGAGCAAGAGGATGCCAAAAAGAGAGTCCTGAGCAGAGTTCCAGCAGCAGGACCATGTCACACATGTTGACATGTGCTGGACAGCACAGGCTTCTGAAAGGTTCCATTCATAGTCATGATAGTGAGAGGTCGGGACCGGAAGGGCAGGCTTGGGAGGAGTGAGAATGCGTACTGACACAAGTTTGGGGAGTCTAAATTTTTCCTGCAGGAAAGAAAGTACCATTGAAGCTTTTGGGAGAGGGATATCCAATCTAATCAGAGCGAGGAAAGTTCTTCAGAGGTAACTTTGGGAGGAATGTGAACTATGGGGTCAGAACTGCCACTGCTACAGTCCAGGGTCCCTGAAGGGCAGGACAGCCTAATGGACAGAGAAGCACTGGAATGGCTTAGAATGAGAAAAATGCTAGATAATTTAACTAGTATCTAATAGGATAATACTACAACAGGGTTCATAAATTTTGTGGCAGCCAGGAAGGTCATGTGATTAACCCAAACCCTTCCTAATCTATTTCTAATTTATTAAATTCTTTGCCAGACCTAGAATAGCAAAGGGCTCAGCACAAAACTAGCTGTCAATATTTGTTAAGTGAATAAATGAAGTTATAAGTAAGAGAGCAATTAAATTAGGTGAAACTGATTATCTTGATTTACCTAGTATTATCTTATTACCAAATCTGGATTTCCTGAACAAACTTATTTTGGGTATCTCTTAGATGATCTATCATTTCATGCACAAGGCCAAAGATTTGCATGGAGAATGGAGAAAAAAATGATTTACATGTTTATGAATAAAATTTGAATTATGTATTTATAATTAAGGTTAAAAAATGTTTATTGGCTCAAACTTGATAAAAAGGTATTTTTTTAGTATAATAAGGTATTCAATTCTTATAACAGTGAACTTTTGACCTCACAGAAGATAAGCTCAACTACAACACACTTGACTAAAGCAAACAGATGTAGTCACATATTTTAAGTCAATGAAAAGATTAAAAAAAAACAAAAAACCCTTAGGAAACATCTTATATATGTGCACTGCTAATTCTAACATATCCACTGCCTGAATTTCTTCATGATGCGGGAGAAAGTTGGTCCAAAATCTATAAACTGTAGCTGGGCACAGTCACACATGTCAGTGATCCCAGCAACTCTAGACAACTAAAGCAGGAGAGTGGCAAATTCAGGGCCAGTCTCAGAAATTTAGTGAGGCCTGTCTCAAAATAAAAAAAATAAAAAAGGCTGGGGATGCTGCTCAGTGCTAGAATGTCCTTGGGTTCAATTCCTAGTACCAAAAATTAATTAACTAATTAATTAAATTATATAGGAATGAATATTCTCTTATAGTGAAATATATGAAATACAGTTAAATACATTAATTAATTGAATCCCCTAAAAACTTGAAATCAAAATACAATTTATGTAGCAAAATAATCCTTTTAAATTGCACAATTCCGTAGCATTTAGTATTCATCACCCCAAAATGAAACCTTGTACCCATTAGCAGTCGCCCCTTCTCCCCTCCACCAGCTATTTGGCAAATACTCATCTACTACTTGTCTCTGTGCATTTGCCTATTCTTTAGACTCCCTAAAATTTTGTACAAAAAAAAAATGTGCAACAGATGATAATGCAGCTATTGCACACAGTAAAAGCATTTTTGACACAAAGAACAGAATGTGTCATCTCCTTTAAATCAATAAGACATTCCAAATGTCTCTCATTTCCTTAGTCCAGTTTAACCTTTTCAAAAAGAGTTGGTGTGGGCTGGGGTTGTAGCTCAGTGGTAAAGCACTTGACTAGTACATGTGAGGCATGGAATTCGATCCTCAGCACCACATAAAAATAAATAAATAAAATAAGGTATTGTGTCCATCTACAGCTAAAATAATAATAATAATAATAATAAAAGAGTTGGTGTACATGGACTTGCAAGTGTGAATATGGTGTGAGTGTACTTTTTGGAATATGTGGTCAATCCTATTAGAAACCATTTTGTTCTTGTTCTATCAGTTCAGCTGAAAGAAAACTTGGTGAAGACCTTAAGGCCAAATAGCCCCAAGTGGAATAGCTCACTATATTTTGACCAGATGTTCTCTCTCTCTCTATCTGCATCTGTTGAGGCATGACAGTCACTACAAGATCTTATGTGTACAAAATCCTCCTTCTTTAACACATTTCAAGCAAACTGATGACAAGTTTTATAGACTGAGATATGTGTTGTGTTTCTACATGGCTCTCCCATTTCTACCAAAAATGGGAGGAACCTTGGTGTTAGTCTCTTGATTCATTCAAGAGAGGAGCTAGCATTTGACCTAGAACTCCAAGAAGAAGTTACAGATCTGTGGGTAGATATGCCTCAAAATATAAGCAAAATAAAATTCACTGATACCAACTTGCTTCTCTGCAACCTGAGAGGATGACTACCTAAAAACAAGAGCATCACCCCAGGAACCACCTATTACCATGAAGCTTCATTCAATAAATTATCTTAAATAACTAACTGGGTTTCTGAGAATATCTTCCAAGATCCTTTGGAATTCAGAACGTCTGGAAACTGTATTTGAGCTATGGCCGGTTGTTCTGTCTTTTTTTTTTTTTAAATAACATATTTGAAGATACCACTTAGAGAAAGCAAATAAAACTGGCTATTTCAGCAGTAGGCTATCACTTGTCAATGTGCTCCTTCTGAATCTATCTTTGGTGCTTTCAGAGTCACCCTTTGAACTCCATGGACTTATTACTCTGAGCAGAGCAAGTGGCTGGAAATCCAAGTTAAATGCTTGTACTGTCTGACCAGTAGGTGGCAGTTCTGAACAACATGAAACTAAGTTCATGAGTGTACTAAATGCCATGGAATTGTGCAATTTAATAGTTCCTGCTTCCTCTGTATCATGCCCCAATTGAGGTCCAGTTTTCCGCCCCACCTCCAAGCCCAAGCCTCCACCTGTCCTCTTGGAGCTAGCTTATGCTGGGAACAGTCAAAAGAAAAAAAAGGAAAATATGCCTGCCTTTCTAAGGATACCCTCATGAGGGTTCTTTGTTTCTGCCCATGAGCTCAGGGCCCATGGATGCTTACCTCATTGGAATGTGTTCTGTTTTGGTGCTTGGCGCGATCAGAGGCATTTGAGAAGGCCTTGTTGCAGCCTTCATGCTCACAGACGTATGGTTTCTCTCCAGTGTGAGATCTCAAGTGCGTTTTCAAGTTTTCTAGTCTCGAGTAGGCCTTTGTGCAACCTTCAAACTGAGGACAACAGGTAAATCTGGATTACTCCACACAATGCACCGGCAGCTTATGCCTAACCCTCCCTCAAAGTGGATGAAAACCTGACGTTTCAAGGGTCAGCAGCTTTTCAAAACCACGGAACAAAAACTCCACTAAACTCTGCATTTATTGGGATTCAGATGTGGCTTGGGGCAGTTCAAGATAAAGCATTTTCAGTGCCAATAAAAGTCCTGAAGTTTTTTTTTTTTTTTTTAATAGACCGCTCAATGTGGACAATGGATTTCATTATCTGCTCATTGATCTCCTCAAATTCCCACTGATTTCAGATTCAGCACAAAGTTCATTAATATGGCTTTGTGTCCATACAAAGACCTGGAATTTGATCATGTTTGTAAAGGGCCTTTAAGATGTAAAGTACCAAGGCTGAGTAGGGCCCAGTGTGCCTTCCGGGTACATCACTGAGAGAATGTTCAACGTCATGGAAGCCCTGGCCCACTCCTGAAGTCTACACGGTGTCACTGGAGACTAACCAGGAGAAACTTTAAAATCAGGTGAAGGTTGAGTATCCCTTACCCAAAATACTTGGAATCAGAGTGTCTTGGATTTTTTTTTCAGATTTGGGCATATTCATTTATTCTTTATATATATATACCTTATATACACTACCTGATGATAATTTTGTATAGTATTTTTAGTGTACCTGGGTTTTGACTACAACCAGTCACATGAGGTCAAGTGTGGGATTTTCCACTTCTAGCATGATATTGGGGCTAGATTTTTACAAATTTTGGAGCATTTTTTGATTTATTTTCCTTTTTTTTTAAATTATGGATGTTCAACCTATGCAGCGATTCTTTTTAAAAAGTCAACTTAAACTTTTTAAGTTGGAAGCTGGTACCTCCCTTTGCTTTTTTTTTTTATTTTTTATTTTTATTTTTTTAGTTTTCGGCGGACACACAACATCTTTGTTTGTATGTGGTGCTGAGGATCGAACCCAGGCAGCACGCATGCCAGGCGAGCGCACTACCGCTTGAGCCACATCCCCAGCCCCTCCCTTTGCTTTTTGACCCTCTGCGTGTGATGAGTTATTGGGCTGGGGAAAATGGTCAAGAGCTCATTCCCAGTATCAGCCTTCTACCTGCTAACCTGTCTAATCAGGAAGCTCAAAAACACAGATATTCATCAATAGATGATGCACCTTCTCTCTTCTTACCAACCTTGCTTCCCACAAGCTAAGTTATCAGCTTACACAACCATGAAGAATATGAGGAAGGACCCATGAGGTGAGGCCTAACACCCACCCATGGGAGGGGACACCCAGGTTGCCTGCCTGCTACCCACTTGTGTACTCACAGTGCATTTGTGAGGCTTCTCGCCCGTGTGTCTCCTCATATGCACTACCAACATGTACTGGGCTTTGAAGGGTTTCTGTTCCCTTGAGCAGTCAAGCCACCGGCACACAAACTCCTTTTTCTCTCCATGAATATGGTCATTATTGATATGCTGGGGTTGGAGAAGAAGAAATAAAATGGAAATGCATTACTCATTTCTGAAAGCAACAGAAGAAAGTGCAAAATATGCTCAATAGGAAGTCCTAAAGGAGATATGAAGAACTTAACCAAGTTATATGTTTTTAAGAATTCTAGTTAGTATACTTCTCAAGTAAATTTTCTCTTGCTAATTGCATATGTATGCTCCCCAGATAGCAGCCATGACATGAAATGAGAGGAAGCCTGGCATCTCAGGAAAAGTACCATACCAAGCATCTAAAGAGCAGAGTTCAATGCTGAGTTTTGGGGATGACTACTTGTGAAATGGAGCAAGCCATTCTTGTTCTCTCTGGGCCTCTATCATTTTTCATCTCAAAGGAGGGTCAAGGCCAATGGGCTGCTCACATACTCTCCAGTTCTCATGTGCTTTGGGAGGGGATACACGTGTACCTGTTACACTCACATGCATGCACAATTTCATAAAATGGTACAAGAAAAGCACTTTTCAAACTGAACGCTGGGTTTGGTGAAGTTTCTTCCTGAATCACAGAGAGAAGAAATAGGTTCTGAAGAAAAGGAGTACATAACAGTGAACAAATGATTTGGTCTCTTGGGTCTTCTTTTTCTTCATGTACAAGATAAAGGAATGGACTCCCTAGTTTCTCAGGTGGTTTCCAGCTTTAGAATTCAATTAATGAGGTCTTTAAGATGAATATGGATTCCCCTAAATTCGACATCAATTCAAAGCTTTCAAACCACTTTTTATCTGATTCCTTGGATGAACATATCAAGTACCCTCTAAACAGGAGACTCAAGAAACCTCTGGAAGACCCAGGAGGATCAGAAGTTCTTCATTTGGATCCAATTAACATTAATTTAAGTAAGCTGAGTGCACTATTTAAAAGTCCAGTTTAAGACTATTGAGGAGAGTTGTATCCTGTTTTTATTCTCTTGTCATCCTGCATTTGCCTTAATTTAAGGCAAATTTAAGCATTTTCCCAAACATACATAGAAATATATCACTTAAAAATTCATCGAATGATTGACAGCTTCCTCCAGTTCTGTGCACTGCATGGGAGTTTCACAACATTTAATTATGAACTGCAAAGTCTCCAGCTCCTAAGTGATAAAATGCAACCATCAAAGTTGGCCTTCCCCAGTTACTCCACTAGGTGGCCTTCTGCTTCAGGAAAAAAAAAAGTTTCACTTAAAAAACAAAACAAAGTTTTTTGTGCTGTTTCTGGAGCTAAAAACTGGTTGAGGGCACAGATTTTTTTTTTTTTTTAATTTTTTCTTTCCTTGAGAGGCTCTGATAAACAGAAAACAGAAGCATATCAGAGCACACCAGCAGAAAACCATCATCTCCTGGAAAATGTAAATGACAAAGATGCTAACCGATACTCAAATACCATGTGGTATAGTAGCCCTGTGGCCAATGGATGTGGGTTTCCTACCAGAAACCAGCTGTCCCATGAATAAGTGCTTCTTAAAAGTTGTGATTGTGTACATATGTTAATAAAGAGAACAGACCTGCTAAACAGGGGACGATGTGCAATCATTACATTCATGTTTCAAGTACATCTTTGTGGCCCATATACATTACCCAGACTTATCCAAAGCGTGTGTTGAAACCCAGCCCTTGAAACCAAGCCCACATAATAGGAGGGGCTGTATGAATTCTCCCTTCCTGAGAGAAAAATAAATGACCACACAAAACCACTTCATAAAAATTGTACTTGGTTCAGTTTTCCAGGTTATTAGGGATAAGTTGGGTGCTTGGATTAAGAAAAAGCAAGAAGGAAGGGAAGAATGAAAGGAGGGAGGGAGAGAGAAAGGGAATAAAAGTTAAAATTGGGAAATGGAATTTCAAACTGTACTGAGCCAACTCCTTGAAGTCAGGAATCATGGCTTTTTAGTTTCATATTCTCAGCCACAGTGTCTTGGTAGTGTGCTGGTACCTGGCAGGTACTCAATAAATATCTGTTGAACTGATTTGACCCATACAGCAAAGTGAATGTTCACTGGGCAAAAGAAATTATACTGTACACTTTTGTTTATCTGAATGAAACTTCATTTTACCTGGTACTTGGACACTATGAATTCAACAAGAGATATTTCATTACTTTAAAATAATATACTCTCAAGAATTCAGAAAGATTTAAAAGATATTCAAACATGAATCCCCTCTTGCTGGGTGGAACCAAAGGAATGCACTGGGATTGCAACATTTATTTCCTCTCACGCATTCATGGGGTTGTGCTGGCTGTATTCGCACTGGGCCGTGAGCTGGGGAGTAAGACACACGTGAATCCGGCCCCAAGGAAATTACAGTCTCCTGAAGGAAAATAGATAATGACTTAAATTACTATACAATTAAAGTCGTGATAAGTGTTGTGAAGGGAAATAATGGGTTTTAAATAAACACATAACAGCCAGTCCTAAATCAGAGTGGAGCATTAGGCATCAGGCTTGGCTTCTCAAATGAAGCTGCATCGAAAGCAGAACCTGAAAGATGAACGGAGACCTGCCAGGTGTGCAGATTAGGGTGGAAGTAGAAAAAAAAAGGGGGGACAGACACTATTGTAGACAGATGACATGGATGCACCCGCAGAAGGCAGAGCTCAGTGCCTTATTGAGGATCAGGGTGAGGCCCACCACACAAGGCAGAAGAGAATTGGCCAGGCAGACCCTGCAGGCCTCGGGTACTGCCTCTGCTGGGCATGGTGAGAAGGCACAAGCTTTCACCACAGAAGAAATAGACTCTGCTGGGGTGGTCACGTGTGGGTTGGCTTGCCAGGGCTCAAAATGCAGTATGCTAAGTCAGAACCTCAGCTGTGAGGCTGTGGGTGGTACTCCTGGACAGGACTCACATTTCTCCTATGAGAAAGCAAGCTTTTGCATGCCTGTCCCCAAGGAGGACAGCATCAGGGTAACTGATGCTACTCAGGGCCATTAAATGACCCATAGTGGGAGGCACCAATAGCAACAAGTAAAAAAAGTCTTTGGCTTCCCCTCCTGTCCTGGCTAACATACTGGAGGAACTGCACTCTAGAAGGACAGGGAGGGGGCTTTTCTGGACTGTGGCTCCTCTAGGTGAGGTGGAAGAGGGAGATCAAGCAACCTGCCAGCTCCCTTGCAAAGTGTCCTTCACTGGTGATAGGAAGGTGAAGGTTCTGGATGAGATTAGAGGCCTAAAGTGGACAGACTGGAACTTGTGGAATCTACCTATAGTGGAGCTGAAGTGTCTGCCAATAAGCAGGAAGGGAGAACTGTCAATAACAGAGGGCAATTGCCAGAAAAATCAAATTAATTTCATATTTAGATTTCACCGAACTTCATCTTTCTTTGCCTCTGGGACAATGTATGGAAATGTGATTGGAGTGATATTCTGTGCTGACCAGCCAGCAGGAACCCCTCAGTGTTGTCCCCACATAAGGAGGAAAAGGGAGGAACATACATGGGACAGTTAAAGCAACTTCACTTTCAGTAAGGCTAGCCTCTTTGGAATTTTCCCTTTCTGTCTTCTTAGACTGTGGTGTCCAAATTAACCTGTTTTTGTAGTAGTCTGAAGTGACCCTTGAATTCGCACATACACTGAGACCACAGGTTTTTTTTTTGTTTTTTGTTTTTTTTTTTTCTGGAAAGAAAAGTCTACAATCTAGGAGTGTAGAGACCAAGTTGATCTCATTTTTCTTAAAGCTCAAATGCTAAGTAGAGGACATTATCAATTACTATAAAGAAATAAGGAGGCATCTTTCTATTTAGGTAATTCAAATGTGTTTTAAGCTTAAAATATTTTTGAAAGATAGATTTTAAGTGAAAATTAAAATTCTAAGAAATCATAGACTTCACATATCCATGTGATATTTACTAAATATTTACTTTCCTTTAAGAAAACTGCATTGGCTTCTGCAGCAAAAGCTCAGGGAGGATTCATTTGGGCAGATACTGGATGGTTCCCACAGATGCATCTCTGACCAATTTCTGATGTGCTGTGTACTTTGGATAGGCAGATTTGCCTCCTTGGGGCCTAATTTTCTCATCTATAAAATTACATTGATGAACTAGATCAGGTGTGGGCAAAGTTTTTTCTGTATGAAGCCAGATAGAAAAGTTTTATTCACTGTAGTTCAAAGTTGAACAGTTCTAATCAATATATGAATGAACAAAATGTAGCTGTTCATTTATGAATATGGAAAGTTTGCATGTTATGAAATAGTCCCTTAAAGTTTTAAAAAATTATTTAAAACCGTAAAAACTTATTCTTAGCTCACCACTGTTTGTATTAAAAACAAACAGTGGACTGAATATAGCCTGTGAGCTATTAGGTTACTTGCCCCCACACTAGATGATTTCAAAGTTTCTTTCTTACTCTAACATTTATCAGGTTTGCTCTCAAGCCTGTGAAAGTAAAATCAGAAGGATGTATGGTTTAGTGCCAGAGAGAAGAAAAGAAACTAGAAAGGAATAAAAACCAGGATCCGGGGCCAAAAGGGGAGTTCAATGAAAGGAGGGAGTTAGGCCAGACACGTTTCAGGTCTGCAGCATTTCCCTAGGATTGGGTTGAAAATGCACACATTCTTTTCTCACCAAACTCTAAGGAAGCTAAAAGAAGAGTAATATGCAATGAATTCTTAACAATCAGCAGACAGATGAAGCCCATGTGAAGTGGGCCTGAAATTCAATGGGCAAGAGTTTATTTGTGGTTTCACTGAAAAACTTTGACTTCCTAACAGTGAAAAACGTTAATCAAATATATAAATAATTTAATTGGAGGGAAAATAATGCATGATTAAATTCCAAACTAATCCAACACAAAGACACGCAATTTGCCAGAGGCCCCAAAGCCAGAAAGAGATAGATGGTGTAAATTACAATGTTGTATGCCAATTCATGTGGCCACTCTGAACTTTCCCTGTCTGAATAAACAGGACAGGGATACTGGGACCAACAATTTCCCCCTCAAAGGCTGAATCCAACCACGGAGCTTCTTGATTGGGTTTCCATTTATGG